GTCAGCTAGCTCAGAACGAAGCATGTCTGATAGATAGTAGGACCGCATCTGGCCCCTCTCCGTCAGCTAGCTCAATGCGAAGCATATCTGATAAGTATGCAGGACAGTGTATGTGACAAGTAAGCCTTCACCCCGTCGAAGCGCCTGCTCCATTCAGCTCGAGTTCAGGCGGTGACATGCACCGTGAGGTCCCGCATTACAAATTCCTCCAGAGCGGACGGCGGTGCTCGGGTACCGAATAGCAGCCCATCGAGAATCCTGCGAACTGTAAGTGAGCCCGCGCACGCCATCCTCCACTGAGACGCCTTCCGGTGCTAGCGTGAGCGACAGCGCCCCAGTGCAGAGTCAGCCGTCAACATAAAGTGACGCCGCGAGTTGACGCTAAGAAAGAAACAACAGGGGCACTTCACCGTCCCGCGCGCCGAGCGGCGGCGGGTAGACGCTACGAAAGTACAACAGAGGCACTTCAACGTCCCGCACGCCGAGCGGCGGCGGGCGGGCAGAGTGTGGTAACCATAACAGCTTAGGAAAACGACATGTGCATACATGAACATACGTGCAAACGTGCGACGCCGCAATCGGTGAACGTGCACCGAGCGCACGTGGCCAGAGACCTGTGTATTCTTGGGAGTTCCTGTGATAAGCATGTGTTACAACGGACCAATTAGATATATTTTGACTCTCATTGAGCGAGTGAGGCGGACATGTGTTTATTTATTTGTCAAGACGTGAACAGCTCACAGCGGAATCAGCTGACTGCACTACAGCGTGACCGCGCAGCTTCCTCCGACGCCCTGACATGGTCAGGGAGTCACTGGACTTGTCAGCTGACTCCAATACAGCGTATCAGCGCAGCACCCTCCGACGCCCTAACGAGGCCAGGGCTTAGGTCCTTGAAATATTTTTCGGCATGGAAATACGGGATAATGCGAGGATCCCGTCAGTTCATATTCTTGTCATCTGGCCTGAGTATACCTGACACAACAGTCAAGGTCACGGGACCCTGTTAATCTTTACTTCTGGCGACTTCAGAGTGAAACATGATATTTGGGAGTGGACCTGCGGTCCCAACGCCGCGGCACCGCCTTCAGCGGCGTTAGCGACACCGGAAATAATCTGTTTTGGTAGGCTGCCCACCATCGGATGAGCCCAATATTCACAACTGCCATGCAATAATCATCGTTGACGCTATGACGTACAACGTCATTACATCTCCACCGTTATCGCCAGGTCTCACCAGAGGTAAGAGAAGGAGGAAAAATGTACCAGATGTGCCGTCTCTAAAAGCGTTAAAAAGTCACGTTGTCCAAAAATGTTGGAATGAAAAGAAAAACAAAATGCTACTATCTACAACCTTTAGCCTCAGTCCCTACTCGCGTCGCTGCATTCTCTCACTCGAATCGAATGAAAGAAAGAAATTGATTGTTGGTAAGAGTTCTCACCTCTTAAGCGCCATATAGTACTTGTTTCCCGTCAGTTGGTCTCCGCTGTACTGCCAGACGATGTGGACGGGAGAACATGCGGGTGTAGTTGAAGAGCGCCTGGTAGTCCTCGGACGTGCCGCAGACGGGCAGCTGGAGGGGCATCCAGGGCAGCCGGCAGCCGGGGCCCAGTTCACCCAGCGTCCGGAACAAGCACGAGCGCATGCACTGCCGGCGGAGCCGGCCGCGAGTTAGAGGGAGCCACAGGGAGCTTAACACACGACCATTGCCCCCCCCCCCCCCCCTCCCCTCCTCGTCCTCCAGCCGAGTGCTTGGCTTAAAAGGGACTGTTCCACTTTATATGGGATTTGATCCGAATAGCCATCTGAAGACCTGACGGTGCTCTTTCACAATCTACCCTTTTTAAGATCTAAGCCCCTCTAGTTTCTAATGCTACACGTCCGCGAAAATGGTTGAAAGGTATATCGGGGAGAGCATTTTAAATGACCTTAGCATTCCTGACGTTATAATAACGTCATGATATGTATACTTATATATATATATATATAATATATAAACTATATTTTTGACGAGGCACATGAACGTCATGACAAAAAAAACTGTCGATGGCTTCATATGTGGCGTTCGTGAGTGCCATTTCCCGATATCGCGGCCGTCCACTTGGCTCTTATCAATGTTGTGCAAGGTACGATGACGTAATCAAATCACGACGCATTGAAGGGAACATGTGCTAAACAGAGAGTTGTGCTGTCTGGAACAGCATTTTTCACTTAAAGAGTACACCAATAGTTTAAAGTGAGCTCGTCAAGAGCGGTCGATGCGGTCCCCCGCCCCCCCCCCCCCCACCCCCTAAGGTGCTCGGGGGTTATCTCTTCGCTTTGTCATGTGATCCGGTTCCAAATTTCGGTAGCCTACGGGACATTTGTTGCGCGGGCTTTGACATCAAAACAGTGTCTCTGGCATTTAGTTTCCCGAGCAGTGTTAGTTTGTAGTTCTCATACAGTTCTGAGGGCCAGTTCACGGCGGTTTACTGCGGACGCGGGCGGCAGACTGCATCCAACGAGTCTGCCGGTCACTGCGGACGCGGGCGGCAGACTGCATCCAACGAATCTGCCGGTCACTGCGCGCGCGGGCGGCAGACCGCACCCAACGAATCTGCCGGTCACTGCGGGCGCGGGCGGCAGACCGCATCCAACGAGTCTTCCGGACACTTGCGGGCGCGGGCGCGCAGACCGCATCCAACGAATCTGCCGGTCACTGCGGGCGCGGGCGGCAGACTGCATCCAAACGAATCTGCCGGTCACTGCGGGCGCGGGCGGCAGACCGCATCCAACGAGTCTGCCGGTCACTGCGGGCACGGGCGGGCAGACCGCATCCAACGAATCTGCCGGTCACTGCGGGCGCGGGCGGCAGACCGCATCCAACGAATCTGCCGGTCACTGGCGGGCACGGGCGGCAGACCGCATCCAACGAATCTGCCGGTCGCGGGCTACGGACCGACACTGTCACATTAACATATCCCAACGTGTGACATATGCTCGAAACAGACAATGCTAAAAATTCAATAAGGATTATGTCTGTGTAAGTTTTATGACGCAATGTGCCATTGTTTTGTAAATATGTGAGCTGAAAGTGTGTTCAGCATGTAAAGCTGAAATGTTCGTTATTTGGGATAAATAGCCTTTGGTTTGTAAGCTGTTAAGTGCATTTGCGAGGACCATTGTCAACATACATAATACCGTAGTAAGAGCCTTATTCCTCGAAGAAAATCCAGAAGAACGGAGATAAAGATGCGTTGATTTTTCGGCAACATGCCATCATCGAAACAATAGCTGGAAGTGCCTGACTGAGCCAAATATTGTCATGCGCTGGTGGTTTTGGCCTTTTTCTGATGGTGTTTTTTGCACATTTACCGGGTGAGTTAAAACGTTGACTTGAACGCACACTCTCGGCTGCAGCCGCCATGTTAAGCTATCCCATCGCAGGTCTTGTTTTCGGTAATAAGAAGGAATAATTTAAAACTCCTGGAATTTTGTAGCACAAACCGTAATTTCCGATCCTCTTAATCCCTGCCTTGCTTTATCCGGAATCCTTGTGACACCCCGCTCGTCCGGACAGGCTGCCTGCGTCAGCCACAAGTAGGCCGGGAGCCCTCCTGGAGGGGGAACCCCGACCGGACGCCCAGCACACGCTTATAGCGGTCCCTGCGCGGGCTAAGGCTAGGCGGTTCACCCCCTCCCCCCCTCCTCCCCCCCCCCCCCCCTCCCTCAGGTGCATGTTGATCTTTCCCACCGTTTTCCATTCTCCTTCATCCTACAGCCCTGAAATGATAATTTCTGGCCAAAAGGGCTCTATTCCAAACAACCAATCGTGTTTCAACCTTACATAACTGGCATTACAATTGAGCCAATTGGCTGCCGTTATTGCTGGAAATCGCTCTCACGAAGTCGAAATATGAACGATCCGACAATTACATTTGTCTTGACGTTGATTGCCGTATGGCCAGTGGAATGACAGGATTTGATTGCAGTTACTATGAGGCTATGGATGCCTGGGTTCAGTTCGGTTCAAAACCCCATACAAACGTGCAACATTTCCTTTAACGTTTCTTAACCTTTATCTCCTGGTAAACTGGTAGACCATTATTTCAACGTAAGAGTTAATGGCCTCTCAAGTTTCAATGTTCTCCATCACATGCCAAAGCGTTGGTCGCGCCTTTTCAACCCTCGCCCTGATCCGTCGTGTTTCATAACGCGGACCGATAAGGGGCTAATGTGATACCCCTGCCGTCCCCAAACTACTCAGGATAGAGCTTGACAGAAAACGCCAGTAGATTGGACGTAGTCAGGTCTTGCGATTGGTAATTGCTGTTATTTTGTAGGTCAATAATTAACCGCATTACGTCAGGTGAAAGGTTTAATTTGGAAGAAAATTACACTTGTTTAGTTCTACACGATGACATCTTCGAGACCATGCTTCGTAGTGACACGGAACCTAGACAGGCGTGTTTCTCGTATAATGTTAAATTTAACTGTATATAGTTTTAGCCCTATAGTTATATGATGTGATATTTGTAATGCGCTGTAACGCATCGATCAGTAAAACGGCGTGACCGAAGATTGGCACGCCCCACGTTGGCAGGATGAAGAGAGCACCCCACCCCTGTGTTCCTTTCGCTTATTGTTATACCAGATGTTTGGTACTATGCAAGTAATACAAGCAAGGTACAAGCAAGTAAGCACTATGCAAGTAATACATTTCGTTTGCTCTGCTTTTTCTAGCGTGTGTGTTCCGTAATGTTTGCAACACACTTATGTGCCAAACCGTGTATATGATAATTGCCACGAAAGCTTAAAACGCGCTGCGTAGAAAAAAATATATCCAAACATGGTGCTATTTTTCCGAGAATTCAATGAAACGTTACACTACAGCTTTTATTTCGTCGCTGGGGCATCACATGATCGATGTGATTCTCGGGTTCGGATTTCAACCAACCAACTTCTCTGTAACATGCCCTTGCCCGCTGCGCTCATCACAAACGTTCTTTTATTCACACTGGCAGAGGTGCTCACGGGAGTTGCCATGACGACGGTGGCTGCGCTGCAAAGACGCGTAGTGCTGTGACAAGACGTTGACAGCATAATTTGGACACGATAATAATCAAAAACTGATATTCTCAGTATAGGTTAACAGTCATGCAGTGGCAATACCGAGTGTCATTTTATTAAACATAACTAGTTTTGAGGTTTCACTAGAGTATATTTTTGAAACATGCCCCATATCTACACCCTTTGGGCGGGTGAAGATACCACGTCATTTAGATTTCAATTGCTAATATAGCTAGATACACAAAATTTACAGCATTGAGTAGCACTTTTGATGAAGTCATTTGTGTCAAATTTCTAGGTCTTAATTGGTGAACTTCAGGTCAAACAATGTGAAATTCGAAATCGGTGCCTAAGGTACCATTAGGCCTCCTCACCCAACTAGCTTTAAATTAGGTACATTTTCTTAGCAAAAATCCCTCGTGTTCATATCATGTCAGTAATCTTATGCGGCCTAAAGAACGCCAAAATGACCAAGCCCCCTCCATCTCATTTGTGTTTATTAAGTTACAATCAGCGTTCAATAACTACCCCCGGTGTTCCTCAGAGCGAGAGGCTGATGACGGTAGTTTTAGGTTAGTTATCTCCCTTACTTTTACAAATTCTAACTAAGCTTCTGTTGACGTCCATGCTATCAAAGAATTATAACTGGGAGTAAAACTGCCAACAAAAAAGCGCACCAGTAAAACGCTGCTTGGTTTTGCCTTTATCTGAACTTGATATATGACTCACATGCAATGGAATCAGTTTTACTCCTGATGTAATTCATTAAACTTGTCTAATTATCGAGGGAAGCATCTTAAAGCTGCATCCCTACGTCTTGGTCGTCCCATCAGCTTCACAGGTTTCTACAAATTGTCATCGCTGACGGGTATGGCCTGCCCTTCGCTTCCTGCATACCAATGGCCTTGCCTGCACCCGAGCTCGTGTTAAATATAAGCTAAATTTCCTCATAACATATATATATATATATATATATATATATATATATATATATATATATATATATAGTATATATATATGTATATGTGTATATGTCGCATGTTATATATATACACCCACACACACACACACACATATATATATATATATATATATATATATATATATATATATATATATATATATGCATATATGCTATGAGGAATGCATGTGTATATATGCATAGCTGACCGACAAGTCACAGCAAAACATCATCACCTCTGAACATAAGCCTTGCTTGAAAACCAAGGCGTTTTGGCATTTAATGGCGTCACGTTATTTTGAGGAGGTAACGTCACTTTGTCATTGCCCAGTATCATTTTGCTCTTCAGATGCATTACGACGGCCGTTTGAGAAGAATATGACGCTTCACTAAAACGAAATGACGGTACGTCAGGACACAAACGACAGCAAAAATTAATTTGGGCCAAAGGGAGAATCTGTATAGATATTGTGGCAATGCGCAATATGAGCTTACTCTCTAAATAAGCAATCGCGACCTCGCTTCACAGGGCCAGGCGTTCAAAAGATATTTAAATGCGCTACTTAATTTCATATTTCTGGCCACCTTTCCTCCGGTGTCATCGGGAGGGCGCGATCACCGGCGCCGCACGGCCCCTAGTAAATGGTACGTCCAGCAACATGACTGCCCGGGGGGAAGTTGACTTCCCCCCCCCCCCTCACTGGCATCTCCATCTTCCAAGACGCTGTATGAACCAAGCAAAAATGTCGTTTTAAACGTCTCATCAAATCATGAAGAATACACACCAAATTTCCTGATGTAGGTCAAATATGAGGTCACCAGAAATCACGAAAAGCCAAAAATGGTCGCTCAGATAGATGTGGTTAAAACCTGTTATCACATCAAAATGGGTGTCGGGGACACGGAAAACAGCGTTAGGACCGATAAAAGCGCTAAGACCGTAAGGCCATTTCTGACCGTAAGGCCATTTCCGGACCATTTCTGCTTCCCAGCAAGGGTTAAGTCAGATTAGGTTACCGTTCGAAATGGGTCTACCAGTAGCCTGCAAGAGCGATCCTTTTCTTCACAATACGCTTTTAAGTTTGTTTGATCAGGTGCAATTATTATTTATATTTTAGACACAAAAACGTATTTTAGGATGACCTAAAGGTGATTTGAGGTCGACATATGTCAAACTTATAACCATCCGAGCGAGAAGAGATTCAAGCGCTAACTTGGTCTATGTAACCAGTGCAATGCGTTCACCGTGGTCAGAAAAAGTGTGTTGTACTTCCACAGGTTCTCAAAATCGCATAGCGATTGTGCACGTGATACATGGTCCCTTCGACGCTGGACGAGGTAGTTGTAACAAAGTGAGAACAGCTACGGTGATGCATTAAATAAGACGTCATCAGCTTCACGGAACCGATAAGGAGGTGGTTACACGTGTCGCACTCGTTCATCTAGACTCTTCGCTGCTGGCAACACGGGTCATTGACCTTGTATCACGTTATTTGGCATTGTATGTTCTCACATGACCTTTCGTGACCTCATTGCACTTTTTAATATCACAACATGCTTTTATCGGATCGTTCAAACTATACGACGCCCAAAATTACTTAACGATGCCGCATATTCTGAGCTCAGCATGTGTTTTGCAGGGGGCAGCCAGACAGACAAGTCACGACCTGACCAAGGTCATGTGCTTTGCGGTCGTGTAACAGTTTTGCATGTGCGCAAGTACTCCTCATATATAAAGTACTCCCAGTAAAGTAAAGTGGTACTCTTCATACACCTCACAAACAAATGCCAAAACTACATAAAATGAGTACAATCGTGAATTAGTTACGAAAAACAGCAAAGGCTCACCTGACTTCAGGCCAATGAACTCCTATTTCTAAAAATCGGAAATGAGTAAACTGTAGTGGCTGTCATGCTCTCACATCATAACAAGTTTTAACGATGGCAAATGACCCGCAAATGCGTTATGCGTGGTCAAAGATTTTATGGGCTGACCTCTTTGATATGACCCGGGCTAGTGATCTTGGTTATGAGGCTGACCTCTTTGATATGACCCGGGCAACTGATCTTGGTTATGAGGCTGACCTCTTTGATATGACCCGGGCTACTGATCTTGGTTATGAGGCTGACCTCTTTGGTATGACCCGGGTTACTGATCTTGGTTATGAAGCTGACCTCTTTGATACCACACGGGTTACTGATCTTGGTTGATCAAAACTTCAAACTGGCACGAGGCATGTCAAATTGATAGATGAAGAGGTGCTGAGAATTTTGTTTTGGTGCAAGCCTCCATTTTGGCCGGTGCTTAAACGGCCTTAAACGGCCTTAAACGGGTATAGTCAACTACCCCCGGCTGGGCGCGGGTCAGCCCTCTTTCTAATAGTGGGGGTGATACACCCCTCTAAGGTTCTTTGAGGACACCTCTCCGGCAGGTCGTGCGATCTAACTTATACTTTCAGAAGACTAAAGGGCATCTGTTGTTCGTGTTTTGACATCAGCAGTGTAATCCTTATTATTTTCGTTTCGGAGCAGCGGTGTTTTTTTTAGAAACACTTCACGAAGATCTACGGTCTGAGCGGGCGTTCAAACGGCAACCGAGGATGACGCGGAGCGCTCGCTGCGGAACGAGATTGTTACGTCAGGGAACCATGTATCATAAATCTACGCTCAAAAGCTATAAAAATTGACACCAATCTGTTCGGAGTTGAACAAAAAACGTCTGCTTAAATTGCATGCTACCGCAAGGCAAAGTCTGCGATGTAAGACGTTGTAAGGTTGAAAACTGTGCGACGCTCTGGAAAATTCGACCGTTGGCCAGCCATAATGGGATCAGTTATTGATCTGACGACATCAAAACCAGTCCCAATCGCGATATCTCGTTTTGATAAGTTCAGTAGTGTTTAGCTAAACTTCATCTTAATTTGCTTGCAAACAAACGCCATGGGGGTCAATCTTCTGCTCAGGCGTGTTATGAAAACAGAAAATCAGGCCGAAGGTTAGTTGGTCATGTCATTGTTGTTGCGTTGCGACCACTTGTCAGAAAGCCTGTGAGCCCCATGCCGCCGAACACACAGCATGGCTATCATACACCTCACCTCACTGCTTCACGCCTCACCTCACTGCCTCACACCTCACCTCACTGCATCACACCTCACCTCACTGCCTCACGCCTCACCCCACTGCTTCACACCTCACCTCCACTCACATTAGGCCTTGAGTAGTTTCTGTCTTGACTACATGGTCGACTGGCTGTTGGCAGCGTCACCTCCAACGTTCTCTTCACCTTGAAGTTTTGCTCCTTGCCCACCTCCAGCTGGGCCTTCGGCGGTGCCCATACGTGCTCCCAGTCTGCAGACAGTCGCCCGGCGCATCATTGAGCATGTTAACATGTCAACAAAATGTTTATGCACATTGGGCTCTGTTCTGGTCACGCACGTTGCAGTTTCAGTCGGTAAGGGTGGCAGTTTTAACAGTTTTGAGCTTAATGCACTAACGGCTGTAAAATATGGTTGCAAGGCAGACGACAATTTCTCAAGAGAGAAAGAGAGAGAGAGAGAGAGAGAGAGAGAGAGAGAGAGAGAGAGAGAGAGAGAGAGAGAGAGAGAGAGAGAGAGAGAGAGAGAGAGAGAGAGAGAAGGCAGAAAGAGACAACCATCTCTCTCCCTCGCTCCCCTCTCTCTCTCTCTCTCTCTCTCTCTCTCTCTCTCTCTCTCCTCTCTCTCTCTCTCTCTCTCTCTCTCTCTCTCTCTCTCTCTCTCTCTCTCTCTTTCTCTCTCCCTCTATCTCTCTCTTCTGTCTCTCCCTCTTCCCACAGTGCACTACCATATTGATGTAGTGATCCCCGGCGAAGGTTACCGACAAACCCATGTCATGGTCGACGTGTGAGGGCACTACGATACCCATGTAGTGATGCAATAATTCCCTGGCCATGTGCAGCAGCATACCTATGCAACGTTCGATGGACGAGCGCAGCACCATACCCATGAAATGATCGATGGCCGAGTGCACGAAGATGTTCCAGTGGTGACGACCGCATCGCTGGCAGTGTTGTTTTCGCAGTGACAGCCAGAGCCCTTTCTGCACACCCTCGGCCGCTTCGTCATCGAACCTGACCGTGTGACACTGGCCACCGTAGTGGTAGAGGGCGCTGGTGACGTCAGAGGCGGCTGGAAGAGTGACGTCACACGGTGCTGTACTTGATTGATGCGGCGCCGGTGCCCAAGGTAAATCGGGGAACGATGCCATCACACGCAGTGGGGGAAATGTTAATGTGACGGATTGCGTTAGCATTGATTGCACCATACTTAGTTCTAGCACTTTTGAGCCCATGTGTCCGCGTGGCGCACGCCCGCAGGGTTGAAAGCGAATATTGCTGGCTACAGTGCGGGCACTGGCCGGTGTTCTGCATCTAAGATTATTTCACTTGTGTGTTCCTAGCCACAAATGTATGTTTTGTTGACCAGCAGTTGTTGGTAAGGAATGTCAATTGAAAGGAAGTTATCTGTTTCCACACACCTGATAAGATATAAAAATTAAATGCGTTTATTAAGGCTTCCAGCTATACAACGGATGCCATTTCATGTTCATAGCATCCGCAGAAAACGCAGTAATATGAGCCTTATTTATCGTTGAAAACCAGGAGAATGGAAATATAGCTGAGTTGATATTTCGGCAACATGAAACAAAGATCAGAAGTAAATTCAAAACTGCCTGCCGATGCTCATACTTTGTTTTTCAGCTGGTTTTTTTTTTACAGGAAACCACATGTTTTTTAGTTCACCAACACTCCGGGGATAAGACAAGAAGTAATTGACAGCCATCACTACGATACAGTGCATATCTAAGGAATAGAATACACGGACGATACGTGTAAATGCAAATGCATTCGATAAACAAGCATGACGCACCACGCTTCATGCAAGCATGCAAGCGAGATCAAATAAACAGACATCACACATCACGCATCAATTATGCGTGAAAACGCTTTCACTGCAGCGGGCATCGCGCATCGGTCGTCAAGAATCGCGTACACTTGTAAGCGATTTGAAGCTGGCATGCATCACACATAATGCACGTATCACGCTCACATACTCGGTCATGATAAGCCTTGTGCCTTAAGGTTTGGTTGTCGGCTTTAAAAAAAATCACTTGGTTTTCTGTCTGGGTGGTCCTGTGCTTTGTAGATGACTTTGAGCTCTAAAATATGCATAGGGCCAATGTCTTTTTGGATTTCAGCATGAGCGTCTTTTGCCAAAAAATGGGTACTGAAAGGGACATTCCCTGTTTTGTTTTTAGCATGTTGTAGGAATTCATTTTATCTCAAACGGATGGAGCTCATGGTCTCCTCGACATAGACTATGTCTGTCAGATGTTTTTTCAAACAATTTACAATCAATTTCGTAATCACCGTCTTTTGCTTGCAAACCTTTGAAACATAGACTTGTATGAATGACATATATTGCCGCCCGGGACTTCGAGTTCCAGGTAGATATTTCACCGGATACTTTTTTAGTTAATTGACGTTCTCCCAAGCTATGCCTACGCGTAGTACTGATTTTCTGATGTTTGATCCTCCAAAGCATATGCTCATCTATGTGAGGTAGCGTTAAGAATCTGTCGTCTGACAGGACATGTTTCCACCTCCCACCACCCATCCCCACGCGCTCTAGACTTTTTGTTTCTTTGAAAATCTCAAGTTTCAAGTCGAGGATAAAGTGCACTGTCCAACAGTAAAGTTAATATTCTGTTTATGTTCTTTATTTCCTTTGCATTACCTTACCTATTTACCTTGCAGTACCATTACAGTGCATTACCATTACCTTGCAGTACCTTAGACTTCCATGACACATGCTACGACGAATCGCCTTGTGCTTAGTGGAAGTTGGATACGCAGATTCGCAGTACAGAATTATACCAGAGTTCATGGGTTTGATAAAGAGCCCCGTTTCCAACGTTTTGCGGTTATTCCTCCTTCCCACCGTCACTAGTGTATCCAAATATGGGACCCGTTTCCGCTCCTGTATGCTACACCGTAAAGACCAAATTTAGTTCATAACCCATAACTCATAGTTCATAACTCAGTAGTTCATAACTCTAAGATTTCTTCAAAGACATGCTGTCCCTGCGTTCATACTCCAGCCCAGTCATCGATGTATCTAGCTAAGACAGTTGATTGAATGGGTTGGCGGCCAGGGCCTCCGTTTCAAATTGGTCTAAAACATCATTGCCAAAAGGAGGAACGCGTGGGCTCTTCACTACTATGCCAAATTTCTGACGATAGACGTCATCTCCGAACGGGGTAATATTGTTTTGGAGACATTGTTCTGAAAAGACTGCAAACATCCTGTTTTGATAAGCCGAAAACATCAATTTTATGGAATTCTTCGCCAACCGTAACTTTCACGGTAGTGATATTCTCATTGACTGGCATATTGCCATATAAATTAACATCAACACTGAAAAAAATAATGCTCTATGGTACACCTTTTGTCTCTGAGCGACTGAAAGCCTTTTACAAGTATCTGGTGTCCCACAGATGAGTGGAAACAAACCTCAAGAGTTGGTTTAGTATTTTCTCCTAAAGACACGGAGCATTTTCTGTGGCGCCACTGTACGGAGACATGACAAGTCTAAGGGGCACAGCAGGTTTGTGATCTTGAGGCAGTCTATGGGTTACAGGCGTTCCACTGTTTCTAGGTGCTAGATCTTTAGTATCCTTCGCGACTTTAAGGTGGAGTGTTAGGAGAAGTAAAAAAGTATAGAGCGCTTGGGGAGATGGTTGGTAGGAGGCGGGAACTCGTCATATCGGACGACGTATTCTTAACGCTACCTTACATAGATGAGCACTGTGCTTGGAAAATCAAAAATATCGTTAGAAAATCAAAACTGCGTGTACGCATAGCTTAGAAGAGTGATAGTAAGGCAAAAAGTATCTGGTAAGTCTATATCGAGGCCGTAAGTGCCCGAGTGGCAACAGATGCCATTTATGGAAGTCTGGGTTTCAACGGGTTTGCACGCCCAAAAAGTGATCTACCAAATAAGATGTAAACTGTGTAAAAAACATGGGAGAGACATAGCCAATGTCGGGGAGTCCATGCCCCCTATTCTTTTGAGGCATAATGAACACCTGCGAAACGCTACAAACAAAACAGGGAATACCCCTTTCGGTAACTATTTTTTGGCAAAACACGCTCAGGCCAAAATGCAGGGAGACATGGACCGTGTGTCACTTTAAGAACTTAATACCATCCACAGAACACACGACCACTCAGACAAGAACATAAGTGAATGTTGCCTCATAAAAAGTCGGCGATCAAGCCTTACGGTACAGGGCTCATCATGCCTGATTATGCGAGCGTGATATGAGCCTTAATGTGTGGTGCGCGCTAGCTTAAGATCGTTTATACCTATAAATGATTCCTGACGCGTGATGCGCGCTGCCCGTTTCAGCGGAATCGTTTTCATGGATAACTGATGCGTACTGTGTGATTTCTGGTGGCTTCAACTCGCTTGCATGTTCGAATGATGTGTGATGCGTGATGTCTGTTTACTTGAATTCGTTTGCATGGACACGTATTTTGTCGCATTCTAATTTTCGGTTAGATATGCACTGTATGGAAGTAATGGTTGGCAAACGCTCCTTGTTTAATGCCCTGAATGTTCGTGAGATGTAAAAATTGTGGCTCGATGTTAAAAACACTGACAGATCAAGTACGGTCATCGAAGACAATTTTGAACTAACTTATGCTATTCGTTTTGATGGAGGTATGTTGCTGAAATATCAACGCATCTATATCTCAATTATCTTGGGTTTTCCACGAGAAATAAAGCTATTACTACTGTCTTATCTATGTGCATACATTTTTTTCACTTAGCTTAACAACTTTCATACAATTCATTACATGCTCTAACTTGAGGAGACTAGTAGGGCTTAATAAATGTCAAACCTACAGTTGGGCGCAATTACTTAGCTGTGTATTCTGAGAAGATGAGGTCTTTCCACAATAGTAAAGGTCATTCTGGAATAATCCCACCTCAGGGAGCAGCTTCTGCTATGGGCGTGGTTTCCTATTCAGCTAATGGGCTCCAGCTCCAGTTCCAACAGGAAAATGCATTTAGCCGTTTGTCCCTACTCAGCTCTAGCAAAGGTACTTTGCAAAAACTGCACTCTTGAATTTTGCACACCATTTGCCAGATAAAACACAGGTCACAGAGGACACAGATTACCTGCAAACACTCAGTGGCTTATAGGCCAACCTGATGGATGCAACACTACGCAGGACATGTCCAAACAACAAATATCCCCCAATGCCTGGATGAAATTGAAAGCATGGTCCTGCATCGCAAGTAAAAAACATGGCCGTGAAATCCATAACTGCAAATCAATTAAACTTCCTTTGGCTCAGGCTGAAGCGTCAGAAGGATTCTGTCTTGGGCAAGGAGGATTTATACCTGGGACCAAGGGCTTGCATGTGTTAGTTTTTCAAGAGTCTCTTCTGGGTGAGTCGTAGTACCAGATCCTGTAATAAAAAAACTGAGCAGCCAGTCAGTGTCAAATTAAAAAAAAAACGGGTGATAGAATAAATGTTTGCGGATTCGAAAATTTTTGCGGTGGCCCTTATATCATCAGGCTAGGTATGTGCACCTGAAATCAATATAAGGTTTTTTGATGTTAGCCATGATGAAAGCATACAAGAAGGGATAGATACACCGTGGGGTTCCTTACAGCTTCTTGATTTGGCACTAATAATGTTATAACGCTAGCTACGTGTACCTGGAATTCGAATAAGTTTGGTGGGGCCGTGCGAGCTATTTCGGCATGTCTGTCTTGCGGAGTGGGTACGGACTCTCAAAGTTTATTGCAGAGCGGGTGCTGGCATTCCAAATTAAAAAGATGTGAGATTTAACTATGCATGTCGTTGCAGAGTTGACGCCAATTAAAACAAATTCAAGTTTACGCAGAAAATGTCTCGTGAAACTGGAACTGTGTTCCTTCGACTGGGGTGTTCCTGAGAAAGTTGGCTCATCTGTGATCAGCAGGTCAGCGTAATTGCACCATAATCACAGGTCCTGTGGACACTTTTTCACATCCGTCAAATCTTCCGAGCGCACAGGTTGACTACTTAGCCTCATGTCATCCTATTAGTGATCAGCTGCGTGTACAGGAGGAGCTGCCTCGAGCCACCTAGAATACATTACCTGGATTGCGTCCAAGCCGCAAAACAGGCAGCTCATTTTTGAACGTCCCATCTTTTCTCGACGAATAGCTTGAGGTACAGCCATATACCCTTTGTATGCTTCACATTAAAGTTAAAGGATGTCACAAAGAACGAGGCTTTCTCCCGACGGGAAACAACGCCTTCACTATTCGCGCCCGTGCCTGACGGGGTCCCTCCCCTTCAGGCGCTCCTGGGTCCGTCCCTGCCCCGTCAGTCCGCGGCTACGCACCGCACGGCTGGTTGTAGAAGCTGCCACAGGTGGCGACCAGGTCGCGCCAGTCGTAGGTCACGCTCCAGAGGGCCTGCTCCAGGTCGGCCCCGTCCCAGGGGAACTGGGCGGCCAGCAAAGAGGCCGGGTCGGAGAGGTGCTGCAGCCGTCTGAGGGAACACGGGCCCGTCGGGTCAGAGGGACGCGGTAGCCGTCTGGGGGAACAGGGGCCCGTCGGGTCAGAGGGACGCGGCAACCGTCTGCGGGAACAGAGGCCCGTCGGGTCAGAGGGACGCAGTAGCCGTCTGAGGGAACAGGGGCTCGTCGGGTCAGAGGGACGCGGTAGCCGTCTGCGGGAACAAGGACCCGTCGGGTCAGAGGGACGCGGCAAACCGCCTGAGGGAACAGGGACACGTCGGGTCAGAGGGTCGCGGCAACCGTCTGAGGGAACAGAGACACGTCGGTTCAGAGGGAACGCAGCAGCAGTCTGTGGGAACAGGGACCCGCCGGATCAAAGGGACGCGGCAGCCGTCTGCGGGAACAGGGACCGATAGGTTAACATATCGGCACTCAGCAACGGTCAGCCAGAGTATAGTCAGCTTAGCGGCTTAGAATAGTGATGAGCCAGGATATTAATGCCCTTTACACTCCAACAAGAGCGCAACGAAAATCTGCGTTTTCCCACACCAACCCTCACTCCTCTTCGCCGGGCCAGCTTGCACCGACCGGTAGCGGTAAAAAGCACGTGTCCTTTCGTGCGCGGGTTTGCCAGGACGTCCAGTCCAGGGAGCAGGGAGGTGACCCGGGGCTGGCAGTGGGGCAGTCAGCAGACCAGTCCAACCCCTCCCCCCCCACTCCACCCCCAACAAAAGGGAGAAACACACACACAGTTGCGAACGCACATAGTTGGGTCCAGTGGCAAGTGCACTCCTTACCAAAGTTTAGATGAAATTTTAGGTACGTGACTGAATCTTGAAGGGAGTGCTTCACATTTCGACAAGGCTTTGAGCTCAAATATCCATCTTGAAAGCCTTTCGGTGTAGTTCACAGCCCTGCTCGCTGTACGGCCCCCCGCCCTAGTTTTTGAGCTATTCGTCCGCGAAAATGGAGAGAGTATTTCGGGGAGAGTGCTTCAAAGTCATCTTGGCGTTGATGACAGGCTCTGATGCAGCCATGTTCACAACTTGTGTCCAAATTCATGTCGCTGGCTCCGGGAGTTCTTCCAGCAACAAGCTCCACTTAGCCTGGTGGACTCTGGAAATCCAGCTCAAAACCCAGCACGATAATGACCAGTTAATTGCCCCTCGGCTTGTGTGACTATTCAACACTTACTAACACTGTAAATGAGTGGTAGTAGCTTATTGGGTGGTTCTGGCTGGCCTGTCATCAGCTGACTTTGGCTATGACTACTTTACGCCTTTTCGTGTATGATTTGTCCTTGCCTATTGCAGAGCACAATTCCTGCCGGGTCTGTTCCACCTCTTCGCCTGCTTCTGTATGTTTGTTTCCTCTTCCTAGCTGGGAGTGCCCCGACTTGACTATGTTTTCTGGTGTTAACGCGCGCTGGGATAGAGGGGGGAGTACTCCTGTTAACCCTTCCTTGGGTAACGGTATTTCAAAAATGACGTCACAATAACATCATTTAAATTCTGGCATTTCATAAGCCATGCCTCGAGAAAGGCCGAAAAAAGCATTGGTTGAGCCGTTTATATCTGGTATTCATGAGCACGATTCCAGATATAGCGGCCGTCAATTGCTCCTCAATCGATGTTGTGCGAGGTACGATGACGCCATCAAACACTGACGTATCGAAGAGCATATTTACTAACGGAGAACATTGTTGATGCTTGGAGCAGTTTTCTGCTTTAAACACATCAAAGTTCCTATAAGTGAGTTTTTCCCCCATATCTGAGGTTTGCCTCAGTATCTTCGAATGTGAACAACCCCTTTACAGTGAAATAACCCGGCAGGCGCATAAAAATGGCAATGTCGACACCACAGCATGCTATTCTTCCATACACAGATGTCGCGAGCGTGCAGCTCACTAAGCAATAAAACGTTTTGTTCACTGAATAGTTTACTTTGCCCTCCAACCGCGAAAGCCTCACGCAAATCTGTCCTGTGTGGACAAAAACTAAACGTTGATCAAGATTAAGGAAACCATCATTACCACGTTTTGCGTTGGTAAATGAACCACGTGCTGGCGTAACGTAATAACCCGAGTGGTGAGCACCATCGACTGCACTCGGGGAGTTCGGACCCCGGTTTCGTCACGGCCCATGAGGGCTAATACGACCTCTGCAGTCGCTGGGCGCCCCCTAAAGCTGTCGACCTCTGCAGTACGCTGGCGCCCCATAAAGCTAATGACCTCTGCCGTCGCTGGCGGCCCCATAAAGACTAATATGACCTCATGCAGTCACTGCGCCCCCCATAAAGCTAATATGACCTCTGTAGGTCGCTGCGCCCCATAAAAGCTCATATGGACCTACTCACCGCTGGTGCCTCCATTAAGCTATATGATCTCGTGCACTCCCTGGCGGCCTTCATAAAGCTAATGTGACCTCTGACAGGTCGCTGGCGCCCCATAAAGCTCATATGACCTTTCCACTCGCTGGCGCCCCATAAAGCTAATATGACCTCTACAGGCGCTGACCGCCCCATAAACCGAGTCCCTGAGAAGTGCAGCGGCGGCCGTTTTTTTTACAAAAAAAGAAGACGAGCTATGCTGGACCCTTAGATGCCACACCCTGCCTGCTTTTGATCCGGATCAGCTCACGCAGGATGAGGATTGGTGTGAGCAATAATCAATGCATCAAAGAGGAAGTCAGATGCAACAAGCATTGATGCATCCTTAGCATTAATTAGGCATATTCAATTTTTCTGTTGAGACTCTCAAGGGCTAAAATCATTGGATATCATTGGGCTTGTATGTGACTTTTATTTGGCCATTTGAACGAGCCAGAAGTCGTGCTGACTACCATGTGGACGTGTTGTGCCGCCGTTGTACAAACGTGCTGAAAACTGGGCAATAAGAAACGCAAAGTTTTAAACATAATTAAGTTAAGTTAAGTTAAGTAATTAAGTTATTTTCAAACAGTATTATTAAGTTAAGTTAACATGTCGCTGGGTTTTAAAACGTCCAGCATGGGCGTAGATGTTCAGAGCAGAGTTTACAGTCAAAGATTACAAACGGAATGTCTGCTAACCGATAGTTTTCCTGCACGATATGCTGGCCCTCACCTGAAAACGCACCCATGGCGCTAATGTGATGAACAGCCATCATTATTGCTACGCTCGCCCGCGAAGCTTGCACACTGGCTTCGCCAGAGCCGTGCTTGTTTGCGGCGCCCTACCATGGGCCGTACGTCCTTGGGTTAGGTCCCTTCGCCCTCGTAAGACGGAGTGTGTTGCGCGCCTATACGATGCTGCTCCATCGCCCAGTTAGGTGTTGACTCCCCCACGCGCACGCTTAGTAAACTCGCCTCCTAGCCCTTGTCCCCTCAATCCCCTCCCCCCCCCCCCCGCCACCATCTAGCCCATGTCCCCTCGACTCCCCACCTAGCCCTTCTCCCCTGACCCCTAGCACTGGTCCCCTCGACTTCGCGTCCGTGCTACCCTCCTCGATTATCCCCTTTACCATCTGACCTGGGCCGATATGTCCCTAGGTCCCACTCTCGCCACGTAGACCGATAACTGCCGGTGATGCTCTGGGTCCCGACCCACCATGTAGTCCAGTAACTGCCGGTGATGTTCGGGTCCCACCCTAGCCATGGAGTCGGGTACCTGCCCGTGATGTTCTGGTAGACATCCGACTTGAAGATCTCCTCCTGGATTCTGCAGAGGGTGACGGCGAACGTCTGGCGCGCCTTCTCGTCCACCTCGAACGACTTGACCACATCAGCCCTTACCCACTTCGTCAGGCTTACGCTGCTCTGAGGAGGGAGAGCGTATGATTGGAGCACCGCTGCTCTGAGGAGTGACGTTTGGTTAGAGCGACGCTGCTCTGAGGACGTTTGGTTAGAGCAACGCTGCTCTGAGGAGGAAGGACGTTTGGTTAGAGCAGCGCTGCTCTGAGGACGTTTGGTTGAAGCAACGCTGCTCCGAGGACGTTTGGTTAGAGCAACGCTGCTCTGTGGAGGGGAGGCATTTGTGAGAAGAATGCTTGTGTATGAGTGGATAATACATTTGTGCTGAATGATGCCGTTCTGAGCGCATAGGACTTTGGTTTTACTTAGCAGTTCAGGGTATGTAAAGCATTTAGTCAGATTAAGGTGATTGTGGGAAGAACGGACATGCAGTTGATGGCTGGCGAGGAATGCAAGCAAATGAAATACACTGGCTGCAATTGGCAGTTTGATGACAACGTAATAAGCTTGAGTATAGGAGCAGGGGGGCCAGGGGGCCATGCCCCCACTTTTTAAAGTTGAGGGGACAGCACTGTTAACTGCCTTGCCCGCTCCCCCCCCCCCCCCACACACACACTTTTCAGATTAAGGTTGGATTTAGTTTACTTTTTGACTACATGAAACATGCATGCCGATTGACCTAGTTCTCCAGCCATCTTTACAAGATGCGTCATCTTTTTTGCTTGGTCATTGGCCATCTCCTAATGTTACACCCACAGGACTAACGCCGCGTGGTCTATGGAGACTGCAACGCCGGGCGTCAAGGCTGTTGTTGCTATGACTTGCGAGTGCGCATGTTTAAAACCATCTTATATAGTTTTTCTTAAAATCAGTAATCTATTCTGACCGAACTTGAACATTTTAAGACGAACATGGATTAGCCATGTTAGTACAAATTTGGCACCCCATTTTATCTGCAATCTACGTTCAAGGAGTCCTCGATATCTTTAAAGAACGCAACCAAAAAACGTGGAACTAGAGTCTTTGTGACAGCTGTTGGACCCCCTGCGGCTATCAGGGATCTTTTGGGTCAATGAGAGCTCCTGGGCTGATCCAGGGCCAACTGCGCGGGTCAGAAGGCTTCTTATATCAGAGAGGGGAACAATCTGATACAATGTATCTTCCAATGGTCTCCCGGTCGACCAAAAGATCCCGCCTTGTGTCACCGGCATGACAGCCAGAAGACACTTCACGATGGGACGAAATGGCCCTCCAGCCGTTGACCGGAAACGGTAACGTGCCGCTCAAAAAGCCCCCTGCCCGGAGGGAAATAAGGGGTCTCATTATTGTTGAGTAGAGTGGCGGTATCATTATTGCTAAGTATAGTGGGTTGAAATGAGTGAGAAAAGTCCATCCGTTTGTCCGTCCCGGTGGCTCAGTTGGTTAGAGCGCCTGCCTTCCGATTCACCCACCCGTGGCGGGGTGGGTTCGAGTCGCTTTAGGGCGCTCGCTATTTGCCCTTGACAGGTATGGCCTGCGGCCGGTGGCAGCGGTCGCGCTAAAGGTCAGTTGACGTCAGAGGGCGGGACGGACCGTGCTGGGCATTGCGGCACGTTAAGATTTCGCCACCAAATTCCGCCGTGACCCAAAATTGCGCGATCGGATGGCAGGAGTCGGGGCTCACACAACAAGCACTGCTTAGCGTGAGCTCTGATCCCAGAAATCCATCCATTCAAAGAGTTTGGATCAAGTCTTCAAAAAAAGCGAACAAAGCCTTCCGGTGCTTCCCTGAGAACGTTGATTGTTCAGAATGGACTAGTGAAACAAATTACATCAAAAGGATTGAGCATACCCGCCCACAACCCCGAGAGCAAGGACAGCGATAGCCTGGGTCAGCTTCCTCAAAACCGAACGGCGCTGGCTACTGCAAGTGCCACCAGACGGCGGGCGCCGTGTTGACCTGCCTTCTGGGCAGAATAACACGGGGCCCGCCGGGCACAGCGCTTCTGGGCAGATGAATAGCTACAGAAACACGAAAAAAGAGATTATACCTTTACTCTTCCAATTCCACCCCCCAGATTCCAACCTCGTGGTGCTTTAAGGTCCAGTGAGTTCCTATCATCAGTCTCAAGATCGCATGCGTGAAATATGTGCCAAAATTGCCTCTTCTGTGTAAGATTTGATATCCTGAACCGCTTGAAGGTGTATTTTTCAGGAGCGTCGTCATCATCGTCCACCCGCTGGCCATTACTGCTGGGTCGACGCAGCGAGGCCTACGGAGACCGCAACACCAGGTGTCGCGTTTTGTTTTGTTTCTAAGCTTTGCTAGTGCGCATGCTCAGAACTGCGTCACACAACTGGTTTTACTTATCGATTAAAGTTTTTAAAGGTAACTATTTCAGGAGCGTCATCATTTTTACCCACCGGTGGACCGGGGCCAAAAGTTAGCTACTGGGCTCATGCTCCACGGACTATTGAGACTGCAACGCCTGGTGTCAAGGTTTTTGTTGCTGAGATTCGCGAGCGCACAAGCTGAAAACCACGTTACGCAAATTGCATCACTGATCGATTTTGACTGAATGTTGAACATTTCCAGACAAGCATGGCTTGGCCCTGTTAATACACACCGTTGAGCACTCAATCTACGATCAAATTGTTATTTTCAAATGTCGATCAATCATATCGATCTACAATATACTTTTGCGATGTCTTTAATGTCTCTAGAACCCAGATAAAAATGTTGACAATGCTTTTGAATTACATGGGATTAGAAAGTCCCTTAAACCAATGTAATTTAAGGACACTGGTGATTTAATACATGCGGTTGTTCAATGCGTGATTTCTGCACTTTATTGACTTCAAAATGCAGAGTTGATCTCACGGTAGCTGCTGGTTTCTATTCTGGTTACGAGCTAAAAATGACGACAAATCGAGAAAACCATGTCCCATGTTAAGAAGTAGGCTATATGCGGGGATTTTTGGGGGGTCACCATAAGAGGGGCTTATGTCAACCCTGTGCTCTCCGTTGGCAAGACTCTGGCCACACTCCCGCTTGCACACAAAAGCGGATCAACTTGGCTACCTTGAATGATGGACAATTAAATGTTCATTAAGCGAATTCATGCCTGGGGCAGGCAGATTCCCGGATACCTTTTCTGCGGTAGTGTGGTGTAAGGGAAGATGATTAGCGAAAACAGGCTGTTGCAGATGTCCAACACATGTTTTCGACACCAATCAGTAGCAGTGATGATTGAGAAATATACAACAAGCGGCCATACGATCAGTTCACAGTCAGTCATACAGAAGACATCCGGGCCGGGACAGTGGCCGCCGACGGCGAGCGGGAGCAGGGCCTAGATAAGGAATACACGACAAAAGGGCCTTTCATTCTGCGGGTTGGTTTTTAAGGGGAATCTCCCGTTTAATGGCTTGTGCTGCACTATTTTTGGTGGTTTCTAGCTTCCAAATTTGCTTCCGCCTAAAATGTTGCGACAAGTCTTATCTCTTGGAAAGCAGCCGGCGAAACGAAGGTGCATGACGAATCTGTCGCACTATGAGCCATCGATTTACTTTCAAAATTTTTACCAGCCTGTGTCTAGGCCGTATATTGGCCCTCTTGTATCCTTTTGTATTTTGTACCCTGTGAAGGCAGATGCCTCCTCAATGACCCAAAGTGCGTACCCGCTCGTGGAATTTCGCCCCCACAGGAAAGACATTGTTGAAATGTTAAATCGGACGAGTAGTCTTGGTAAGCCGGATAGCCTTATTTGCCGGATGACGTAAATGAGGCGAATAGGCAAGATTGGGCACCAGTGAGAAACAGCTCTAGATGCATATCCAGCACAGCAGCCATGCCATTAGAATAAAGAGCGTTACCTACCCTTCCTCCTTCTCCCTCCTCCCCCCCCCCCGGTCATAGGGCTTGCTTTCCTGAAGAAGCTCATGAAGTACTCCTTGAGCATGGCTTCCTCACTTTTTGAAACGTCCTTTCGCCTATGAGCAAACGGGTTTGTATCAAACGCTTCATCTGAATGACGTTGCCCGTACTGCAGGCCACGCACCTTGCCCACTGTGGCGGATACATACAGGCTGCGTCGTCAGGCAACGTGGTGGAACCACCGAACTCCTCGGGACGCGGCCGTAAGCGGTCAGCACTCACCAGGACGAGAAAGGCGGTGAGACAGGCGGCGAAGATGATCAGGCGCAGCCCTCTGGAGAAAGACAGCTGGCTGAGCAGCGACCGCCAGCTGCCGCACCGCATCGTGCTGACCTGGGCTGACCTCAGCTGACCTTGGCCGGCATCAGATGACTTTGGCTGGTCTCAGATGACCTCTAACGACAGGCTGACCTTAGCTGACCTCGGATGACATTCAGCGTGGTTCAGTTGACTTCGGCTGACCGGCCGACCCTGACGGACCTCAGATGAGCTCAGCTGATCTCAGATGACCTGGGCTGACCTTGGTTGACCTGGGTCAGCTGCCGAGGAGCCTCCGCGCGCTCTCCACCCCTCGGCGCGGCGCGGCGGTGGCTGAGGTCGGCCCGAGGAAACGCTGCTAGCACCTGGAAGTGGGCGCGACCGTTCTCACGGACGCTTTTGTTCGCTTTGTTGGCTGGGGGCGTGACAGGTGGACATTAATGACCGCACTCAGCGACGCCCTTCCTCACGTCCCCTGGGGCACGGGCATGGGCAGGTTGGTGAGCTTGGTGAGGTGTTGAGCCCGGTTCACACCAACTCCGTAACGGCTCCACATCGACTCCGGGAAGGCGCCCGTTCGCAGCGGTGGGAGGAGCCTAAAAATTGCGCATGCGCATACGCATTAATAACCCCCACACCTCCGAAGTACTGCGGGCAGGAGGCCTGCCGGTGGTTTGAGGCCGCCGCGGCTCCTTAGCGCGAGGAGCGGATCCTAGTCGGCGGCCGCTGCTGGCGACAGATTGATTACTGCACGCGTGTCACCTTTGCGACCTGCTGTAAACAGTAATGCTCTGTTTAAGTTGCTTATAGGTACGTCAGTGGCCCGAGTTACAAGCTAATAGTCCTTGATATAGGTGCGGTAAGCGTTACAGATATGGCAAAATTGCAGGAAATGTTACAGGTATTGTTCGGGGAGAAGCATACTTGGGGAGAAAATCAAGCGAAGATAAGTCTGACGAGGACAACTCATTCATGGCGCAAGTCCTGTTGACATGTACGAAACATATACACTGTTAAAAAGCATGTATTTTCATTGCCAATATAAAGAACTTATAAATGTCCCGTATTTAATTGTAAGTGGACAGCTTGCATGAGCATAATAGCGAATAATAGACACATTGCGCCATCAATTGGATATGACAACAATGGCGTTAAATTTTGGCAAGTGACCACATCAATTTTGTAAGGTAATTAAGACAACACAAATGCTGCAGCTTCTTGATCACGTTAAGAGTTTGCTTCAGTCTGAAGTCATAATTCCTCTATTTTGTTATGCTTTTTCAGAATGCGTCAACAAACTATCTGCTATTTTTTATTTATTTGCAAGATGTTCACAAGCGGAAAGAAGCTGGCATAGTGCTGTGCATAGCTTGACCAAGTTCTTCCCTTATTGATCTTCATAACGTTTGTGAGTCCTCTCGTTGGAAAGCAAGGCGTGCTCAGGTTTTGTCCGACGCGCGCCACTTACGTCGAAGTTTTCTTGTGGTAGCTCCCGAGCAGCTGCCAGGACCACAGAAGGTCCGATGCCATGCCCTCAGACCTACCCCCCCCCCCCCCCCCCCACTCAAGCCAACCCCCTCTAAAACCTAGCCCCTCCCCCCTCCCACACTCAGACCTTCCCTCTCGTGACTGGCCTTTTTGTCTACGGGAGCCGCCGCGGCGGCAGATAACTTGAACAGGCTTCGGAAATAAGCCGGGGAATTGATGTCGGGCTGCGCACCGTAGGCCGCAGATGCGCCGTGGATCTACTCAAGGTCAAACGCACATGTGGGAATGAGCTGAGCCGTTGCCATTTCTACCAAGATTGCAATGTCCGATTTTAGCCAGATTCGTAGTGTTCTATAAGGAAATTATGCAAACTTTCCCATGTTGCCATACGGCCCATGCCATTCCACATGGAATGTGCGGTCGTTGTGATATGATAGACTCTCCCGCCACCCAACGCCGTAACACTAGTTCCCACACCCATGTTCTTTTCGCCCGGTTCTCCTCCACTTCCAAATAGGCCGGGAGAAGCCAATCTTCCATGATTCACACAACAAAGCACACAGATTTCGTTTCCTTCGCGCGCCCAAAGTCACCACAATCCTATCCGTACTACGGCAATGTTTGGGAATTCTAAAATTGCTCGGTAACCTTCGGGAGTCATTACGGGGGAGGCCAGATCGTCTGGAGGATACCATATTTTCAGTTTTCTTAGAGATTTTTGCGTGGGGACCTTGGTCTACAGACTTTCCCGTCGCGTTGGTCCATGCCCGTTATGGAGTGAAAAACACCAAATTTATCCCATGGCTCATTGAGCAGACTTGTAGGGGAGCACTGTTGAACTAGTTAAGCGATTAAAACGTAAGAATTATTCCTCAGAGAAAAACCAGGAGAATGGAGGTAAAGTTGGGTTTATTTTTCGGCAATATGCCTTTGTCGAAACAATGTCAGAAATGAATTTCTGCCATTGACTACTGCTTTATTTTTATGCATTTAGCAGGTGTATTTCTGCTATTCACCTCTGCTATTGTTTCGATAAAGGCATGTCACCGAAATATCAACCCAACCATACATAATTTCTTCTGGTTTTTCTCCCAGGAATAAGGCTAATACTATTGTCTTATCTACGTGAATAATGATTCTCGCTAATGCACTGAATAACTTACGTAAAACTTAAGACTGTAGAAAACAAGGATTTTGCTGAATATACACTATTTCATAGTTTGAAAAATCTTAAAATGTTTGACGAGTTAAAATCCGTGCTAGTGATGTTTTCGTGTGTAGGTGCCTCTGACAAAGGCCTCCTACGGGTCCACACACTTGGCAATAGCAGTTGGAAGTTCTTCCGATGAAAATAATCGTCATTTCATATCTCAGAGGTACTGGTTAGACGATATCATCAAGCCAGCATTGGTTATATAGAGAAGGAGACGAGATTGAGACAAACTTGCAAGCTTGAGCATCACGTTGTATCGTTTCATTTGTTTTCACATGGGTATTAAAATGCAAGCTTTATTTCTCAAAAATCGTGAAGAAAGTGGGCTTAAGTGCGAATTTCCTGCTGTTGTAAGTCTCTGTGGGCTCGGTTCTGACAAACTGGCTGTTTAGTCGCATATTTTTTATTGTTTTTTTCGCATTTTCAAGGCGATAGTGAGGGCACAGTTTTATCAAAATGCTGCTCTCCTCTATGGTCAGGTTTGAGCCGTGAGCCGGTTCAGGGACGGGTTTAACAGCCATTGATGATGGTGTGGCTGAAGGTGCGGCTGATACTGATGATGATGGTGCGACTGAATGTGCGGTCGATAGTGCGGCTGATACTGCGGCGGATAGTGCGGCTGATGCTGATGACGATAGTGCGGCTGATGCTGATGACGATAGCGCGACTGATGCTGTGGCTGATGATGCAGCTGATGCTGATGATGATGGTGCGGCTGACAGTGCGGCTGATGGTGAGGCTGAGGCTGATGATGATAACGCGGCTGATGCTGCGACTAATGGTGCGGCTGATGCTGATGATGATGATGGTGCGGCTGACAGTGCGGCTGATGGTGAGGCTGATGCTGATGACGCTAGCGCGGCCGATGCTGCGGCTGATGGTGCGGCTGATGCTAGTGATGATAGAGCGGCTGATGCTGCGGTTGATGGTGCGGCTGATGCTGATGATGATGCTCTGACTGATGCTACGGTTGATTGTGCGGCTGTGTTCAGTGATCGATCTATGAGCTTGTGGCGGCATTCTAGCCGATGAGTTGCGTGTTTTGCTCGATTTCTTGCTAAACTGTCATGAGCACGTCACGCTGTCTTGAACATAGACCTTACTGCTACATTAAGGCGTCACGATTAGCCATCAAAACAAATGCTATGGCATTCAGTTCAAAATGCACTTCTCCCGAAGTTTCGACACCGCCCACAAAGGGCAGGCAGTCCGCTCAAAAGGCGTGCTAACAAGGTGGATTGCCTTACGCCGCCGTGAATACGGTGCTTAGCTGTTGTCAGCGAGGACAAAAGACCGTCACTGAAAGCGACTGTTGTTTGCTCTGTAGCACGAAAGAAGCCGCCCTGTGTGGCCCAGTCTGAGCGAATGCAGCGCTTGTGTTTCGCATGTTAGTTTTGGGCAGAATGTGCCGAAGCGAATGCGTTGTGTCCCTCTATTGACTTCGTATGGTATTAAAGACAAATGCGAGCCCCACGTACGGTGACGTCACCGCACAGCGGGACGCCATCTTGTGTGGGGACGTGGGAACGGTTTCCATCACACTTGGAAGCACTTCGCAGCACTCGACATTGGCTTTCTTGGATTCCTGGCTAGAATATCACTCTGAGATCACTTTAAGTTTAACACGCGTCCGGGTGGCCGATTGGATACTCTTCGCTCGGGTGGGGATCAATTTCACCCCACTGAGATCTCTGTGTGAGATCGAGTTAGCTATAACTTAAATTCAACTTTTTAACCCGCTCTAATGACTACTGCGCATCGCGGGTTCAATCATGTTTGAGACGGTCGGATTCCCAATTCTAACGAGGAGCAAGTTGGCCTCAGGGATTCTACAACTCTGCTCCAAGCATTCGGAAATAACGTTGTTAAATTTGGCGATCGTTCCAACTGAAAAAGACGAACCTTCAAGGCAAAAAGAAAGCACTAGCATCAAATGTGCTTAGGCGTACATACACATGGAACGGGCTGAGGTAAGGCCGGGAGTGCTACTTGATCTAACCTACCCCATAGTCTGATTTCTGCCTGCATTTTGCCGCTTGAATTCGCGTCCTTGACATTGATTTTTAAAAAAAGAAGTTTAATATCTTGCACACTCAACATTGTTTTCCGGAAGAGAAAGGACTTGTGAACCACTTTCCGTGAAAAACTTGTCCTGGGGTTTAATTACCAGAAAAACATCATATTAAATCTGAGGAAGGAATCACTGATCAGTGCTACTGCTGCCAATCGTGTAGCATAACCAACGTAGCTACAGTTATGCGTCAAACACAATCAGGGAGCTAGGATCGCTTTTGAACTAGGGTGAGAGTGAAAAATTCCATCGCAAAAAGGCCATGTGGGAGTGAAAAAATCAATTAAAAAAGATGGAACTTATGAGCTCGTGACTGGTGCTTCAGCTAACAAAGACATCTATTTCAAGTTGGCATGGACGTAATATCAGGAACCTGACAA